ATCAGTGGAAACTGCAGGAGTGGAGACTGCAGCAGTGGAGGCGGTAGCAGCAGATGAGCAAGCAGGGGCAGGACGAGAGCATCGTGGGGGCGAAAAAGAAATTGGATGATACAAGGACCATCGCAGCATGCGTCGGAACACTGAGAGAGACGCGTCACATGCGTAGGATAGCGACGTTGGCAAGAGCGCATGTAGCAGGTCCACCCCTTAGCAAGGGTTCGTGGGGAATGCCCATGCGAAAGCATACGGCGAGTAAGTGTTGTTACCGAAGTTCGAAAGCCCTGACAATTGTTACAGATTTGTTCAAATCTAGTCAATTGCCCAGCGAGCACACGAGCCGGTTGATGGGAAGGGATGTTGGAGGTCGCACTTGGATAACGAATGACAAGGAAGTCCCAAGCAACTGCTTTATCAAAGAGGCTCATGCGAAGCGAGCCATCGGAACGGATCCGTAGATGCATACCTAAAAGGGTACAGGAGCCACCTGTAGCTGTAGTCTCCTTCCACTCAAGCCCATAGTGCTTTGGTGGAGGAGGTAATTGTCCCCATGAAAGAACATCATCAATGAGGCAATAGGTGAAGGCAAATTGTTGAGCAGCTTGAAGACCATGTTGACGAATGTCATCAACAAAGAGTCGATCCCAATACAGTGTCAGATTATAAATTCCTGGGCCATCATTCGTTCCCATTGGAATACCGATAATTTGTTTCCGAAGTGTGCCATCTCTCGTGTATGGAAAAATGTTTTGTACAACAAAGCGAAGATGTTGGCGAATCTTAGAAACAAAAAGGGTATCCGGGCCTGAATCAGTTGTCCATTGGCCACAACAAGGTCTTTGAATAACCATGTTGAGGGCAACGCAGCGTGAATGCGTGCGAGCATGCCGAAGGGCAAAGCATGAGCTTCATCATCAGCTTTTGCCACATTATTCAAAATGTGGTCATGAGGAAGGTTGGTGTACATTGTGGTAAAATCAACAGTGCGAGGAGAGAGGCCACGAAGAGTCGATGCATTGTTTTTCAGGTCAATCGCCACTTCATCGGCACTCTGAACTATCCAGCACCATCGAACACCAACCTGTTGATAGAGCTCAGTGTCTTTCTCGCGAAGAGTAGAGATCACTTCTTGCAAAGCAGCACTGAGATACGACGAAGTAGTCGTTCTGCTAGCCAAGGGTTGTGAGGAGGACGTTCATGAATGGTGTGAATTGTTGGACGAGGGCGAGCAGGCGGGGGAACAGCACTGTTATCTTGTGCTGTGACTCCAAGAATGTTGCGAAGAGCTGGAGGAGACTTGTGAGCTTTGAGGACATAGTAAAGGTAAGGTAGGGTATCAATGTGGGTGTAACCCCAATGGTGATTCCACACTGCATGGTGGTCAAAGACATCAGCAACGGACTCTTGAGGACGAGTATAAGTGGGACTGTCCAAACGGGTAGAGAGATGAAACAAATACCAATTCTTGCAGAAAATTGCCAAATTGTGTGATGTTTTTTTTTTTCACAGGGATAATGGCAAATTGTTGTTGAAGATGGTGCAAGGAGGCATGTGTAGAACGTAGTGAACGTGGCTGGCTCACATGATTGGAGAACGAAGATACATTGGATTGACAATGCGCAAGGATTGCAGAACGTCAGCTGTTCAACTTACGAGAAAGAGACGAGAAAGAAACAGATCGAGAATGCCCGGCCAACAACCTTTTGTAATTGGCAATGTACTCATCTAGTCCAATTGCCAGTGCCTGGAGCACATCAGCAGTTTCCCCATTCAGCCGATACTTCGAGCCTTCTTGAAAAAGCTTGCGAGGCTATCATCGGAGATGATATTGCAGTCAACAGACAATATGGTCATCCACAAGATCAGAACAATGTGGAAAGGCTCTGCGGCATTCGCAATTAGACGAGTCGGGTAAGGTCATGCCAGGAGCAAAACTCAAGGCCACATCAGTGAAGTTACAAAACTGGACACGCGTGGGTTGCATCAGTTTGTCACATACACGAACATGTGTGGCTGCTTGAGGGTCGGGGTGCAATGCAACATATGGCACAAGTTTGTAGCACGAGCTACCTCATGCGCATGCACGACCCCTTGATGTGGTCAGTAAATGGGTCACGAGGCTGTGCTGTGTAACGTTGAAGGGTATGCTGGGATTTTCGGATGAGGCATTCGAGGTCTCGAATGTCTGTTGTCATGTCCGCATTGGAGACATTATTGTAAAGTCGTTGCAAAAGTCGTACCCGCCATGCTGGTGTTGGTTGCTCAATATCAGCCTTGACACGACACCAATTACCCGAAGCAGCTTCAGTGAGAAGGCGATGCAGTGAAGTACGAATCATTAGTCGGGGACCCAGACGAAGATCAACAGCAAAGGATCTAACCAAAGGTGTTGGCAAAAGAGGTAAACAGTGAGGGGGTGTTGGCAAGAGAGGTAAACAGTGAAGGGGTGTAGATAAAAGGGGTGTACATAAAAGGGGTGCAGCATAAGAGCCAACGGGTGCCAGCATTCCAGTTCGGCCAAACCCCCGAACCTGAACACCCGAACGTTCAGGCCCCCCAGCCACACATTCAGCGTGAACATGAACTTTTTTCTTTTTTTCTTTTTTTTATAGTTGTTTTGTTTGTCACAGCCAAAAATACACTCCAATCCAGCGGCCTAGCTCAGTTGGTAAGGCACGCAAGTGGCATTCAGGAGGTCTTGGGTTCAATCCCCATTGGCCTCATGCACCTTCCTGGGCAAGCTTGGCGCCCGCCACCTAGAGATATGCTGTTGGTCCCCCCGAGTGGCATTGAGCAGAGACTGCTGATATTCATAGGGGGAGGGGACCGGAGGGGAGGCACAGTGACTGGCCCATCGAAGAAGCTCGGTCCTGATGCTACCGGCTGACCCCTGGCCGGTATCGCCCACCTGCTGTAGCAGGTATCGCACCTGCTGGTGGGTGCAGCTCCCGCATGTTCCCTCGCTGGAGGCTTGAGCACGGATGTGGCTGCTACGGGGTTCCCCGTAATACTATAATGACAATAAAAAAGGCCTGAAAGGCCGTCCTGTCCAGATTTGACAGGTAATTGAATTGGTTGGGCTTCAAAGAATTAGCCTTTTGAAAAAAAAAAAAAAAAAAAAAACCTCCAGACATGCCGCTGGCACTGGAGCCACAGCATGGCCACATAGCGACGGCCTATTCCAATTTCCAAACCTGAAAACGACATCATAAGAGTAGTTGTGCAACAATCCAACAGCATAGTCCAAGAGATCATCAAAGCCTGCAGGCATGGATACAGCAGCGTTCACGAAAGCGGCTTGATCCTTTGATTACCTCATTGGGTGATCATCATCAAATAGTGTTGTTGTCAACCAATTTGGCTGGTATCACTCCTGTCCGAAGAAATAGTGTTGTTGTCAACCATTTGAGATCATGAGTCTGTCCATAGTTCCGCCCAAAACAAGTAGAGGTCCAGTAGGCCTTCACTGGGTGGTGATCGCCTGCCGTTTTCAAGAATTTGGGAGATGATCTGGGCCGCACACACGCATACGGAAACGTCAGATCGACCCATGATCTAGGCAGTCCGTACGCAGAACGGCCTAGATTGCCGGCCGATTTGAATCTTCGTGATTTTGGTCTGCAAATCTGGGCCATTTGTCAGCATGAAAGCTAGATGGCCCAGATGGACCCCTTATGCCGTTTTCTGGGTTTCTATAGGATTGGAGACCCTTTTTGTCAGTGCTGTGGGTGTCTATTGTGCATTTTTCGCATATGGAGATAATTGTTGTGCCAATGAGCTACTAGTATTTAATACTAGACTAACCGAGCTATGGCGCCCTCTAGGTCCACTACTCCATCACTCGACATGCATGTGGATGCTTTTGGGACCAAACACATTCAAACCGTTGGACTCGTCCAAATGCACCTGGTTCAGAAAGAGTCCAAATGCATGTGGAGTGTTGTGTAGTGGAGTGAGGCCCCATAAACTACCTAGTACACTAGGCAGAAAGGATTATTCTCTCCTATCATTGCCGTATTCTATTCTTTCTACCTTACCCTTCAGCGAAGTGTTACGTTGAAAGTCAATTCTTAGCCGCAAGCATTTTGCATGGGAGCCTCTATGGAAAAGGGTGATACAACCTGTGGAATTTCGTCCAGCAGACACCTTTTTGAAACTACAACTTAAGTGCTTGAGTGGTTTTCCTTTCCAGCACCTGGACTCGAAGACATCTGATTCCCAACGACCTCCCACATCCACATGAATGCCAGAACACCACACTGAAACAATGAAAAACCACACAGCTGCAACAGGGGTTACGAGCCTGGGTGCTTGTCCCCACACAGAGTAGAGCGGGCTTTAAAACCCTGGATGGACTCGGCTCAACCCTGCGGGGGCTTGGGGAGCTGGGAACCAATAACCTTCAGCGTCCATTCCACATACGAAAAAAAA